TCATACTGCACCAATGGAGTCGTGACGCATGGCCTTATCCCTAAAGAGGCGTTTGCAGGGCAATGTCGTTTTCGAGTTTGATTCACGTCCGCCGGAAAACAGAACTGTCAGTTTTTTTTCTTCGGCGCTGGAATGCAGAGCGCGGCGTTAACCATTCCATTTTATTTGCACAAAGGCCAAGCTGCTGCTCTTCAGCAGACCCATAAGGCAGGGCCTCTTGGGAAACGAGTAGCGCGCGTCCTACCAGCGCGTGGGAAGACGTTTTTGAAAAGAACAGTATCTCATCACGCACGGTTCACGACCATGGCCTCGCGTCGGGCACGGGGCGGTCGGAGGCGGCGGTTTCTCGATGAACGCTACGTGGAGGACGCGGCCAGCGTCTCGCGTTTTTTGTGCACGCTGTAAGGGCTCGACGAATGCATTTGCCAGCGCTACTCACGATGAGATTTGTTCGTCGCCTCCCCTTCTACGGCCACGAGCACAACAGTGAACTATGTAAACAACGGCATCACAATTCAGTTATCGCGCCCCCGTCTCGCGCAGGCGAGCCAGTGGCCAGGCCGAGGCGAGGTGTAACGGCGGGAGGCCCATATCTTGTCACTCTGTTTCAAAACACGCTCACCCGTCCCATCTGTCCTGGGGCAGAGATTCATTGGAGCACGACGCGCGCGCGATGGGGCTCGTTCTCGGGGCGGAAGCAGGGCGGACTTCTCATTGATGCGGAGCGCTGACGAAGCGCGTGCGTTCATCGTGGCCAATATAATTGCTAGATCATATGTCCAGAAACTCGGAGTGTCGGATGAGTTGCTCAATATCTTCTCCGGATTTTGAGGGCAGAACATAAGGGGATATACGCGCGGGGAGCCCCGCCCCTACTCCGGCTCGGCCCGCAATTATGTTCGCTTCTTGGGGCCGCGCTAGGTTGTCCCAGACGCGGCCGCCCGCGAAGTGGCGAGGCGCCTGCGGGCGTCGCGCGTGTCACTCCGTAGTCTTGCAGGGGGCATGGTCGCCCCCTCTCCATCATTGATTCAAGCGCTTCTTGCTCGCGGCCTCCTCTCGGACTTCGATCTTGAGTGGACTTGAAGCTTTCTGTTTCAGTAAGGACTACGCGTGATTGGGCAGGGGGTTGGCGGCGACAGGAAGGACTGCGACGGCTGGGAAGGCGCGCGCGAGGGGGGGGGGGGGGGGGGGCGACAAGATCAGGAGCATAAGTACATCATCGGCTTTATGCTTCTAGTAGATCGGAGGTTGGGGGGCGCGAGCGGAGACGGCCCCTGCGGGGTCATCGGTTTCGGCTTCGGTTTGCGTCGCGCGCGCGGGCGAGGCGAAGCTGCGCGTGTTCTTGCACTTGTAGAGGCCACGTGGAGCCCAACCATTCGACCGCCCCCCCCCCCGGCCGGGCGCGGTCCCCGACCGCGGCTTGTCACGACGGCTGCCCCGACGGTTATCCCGACGGATGCCCCGATCATTGCCGCGCCGCCGATGGTTCGCCCCGCGCTCGCCCCGACGGTTGCCCCGGCGGCTGCCCCGATGGTTTTTTCGATGGTTGCCCCGATGGATGGCCCGGCGGTTGCCCCGACTTGCCCCGATGGTCGCCCCGATGGTTGCCCCGATGGATGCCCCGATGGATGCCTGGACGATTGCCCCGATGGTTGTCCCGCGTTTTGTTTCCGATTGTTGCCCCTATGGTTGCTCCGATGGTTTCCACGATGGTTGCCCCGATGGAGGCCCCGATGGTTGCCCCGATGGATGGCCCGACGGTTGCCCGGGCGCGCTTGCCCCGACGGTTGCCCCGGCGGTTGCCCGATGGCTTTCTCGATGGTTGCCCCGACTGTTGCCCCGGTAGTTGAGCCCCACGTTTGCCCCGATGGAGGCCCCGATGGTTGCCCCGATGGCGCCCCCGACGGTTGTTCCGACGGTTGCCCCGACGGTTGCCCCGACGGAGCCCCGACGATTGCCCCGATGGTTGCCCCGATTTTGTTGGTCCCCGATTGTTGCCCCGATGGTTGTTCCGATGGTTTCCACGGTGGTTGCCCCGATGGAGGCCCGATGGTTGCCCCGATGGATGGACCGACGGTTGCCCAGGTGTTTGCCCCGATGTTTGCCCCGATGGTTGTCCCGATGGTTGCCCCGATGGTTGTTCCGATGGTTGCCCCGATGGTTGTTCCGATGGTTTTCCTGATGGTCGCCCGCGCGGTTGCCCCGAAGGCTGCCCCGGTGGTTGTTCCGATGGCTTGCCCCGACGCTTGCCCCGACGGTTGCCCCAGCGGTTGCCCCGATGGCTCTCTCGATGGTTGCCCCGACTGTTGCCCCGATAGTTGGGCCCGACGGTTGCCCCGATGGTTGCCCCGATGGAGGCCCCGACGGTTGCCCCGATGGCGCCCCCGACGGTTGTTCCGACGGTTGCCCCGACGGTTGTTCCGATGGTTTCCCCGATGGTCGCCCCGGCGGTTGACTTGGCCGAGTGGCATATAGATTGATTGACCGAGAGATGTAGAGACAGATAGGTAGACTGTTTGATACGTCGATACACGCACAGATTGATGGGTATACGAATGGAAATATTGTTCGATTAGTTGGATAGAGGCAAGTGGAAGTAGGTGGCCACGTTTTGCCCGCGCACTCTTTGGCGGCGGCAGGTGGGAGTGATCGCGCATTGACCGCCCTCCCCCCCCTTCCCCCCAGCGCCCGCAGGGCGGTCCACTCGGCCGCCCCCAGTAGCATTGGCATGCGCGCCCAGCCTTTCCGATTGCATCGAGCTTGGGCTCGCGAGTATAAGAACCGTGCTCATATCGTTTGCTCTCTATTCGGTGAGGCGCCCATAGAAACATCGGCCTCACCTTCTCGGCGGGCATCCCGCGCTGCGTTTGTCAACGCGGTTTCGGCAAGTAAGAGAGGACTCGGTTCTGGCATCGAAGTCTTCGGAGGATCGGGGCCTCGGCGACCTGGCGGGGGACCTGCCGCTTTCCAGGGATGCTGAAACGCCCGTCGGAATCTGCGGCGTTGGATGTCTCCCATATTCGGTCGCGCTGGTTTTCGACGATGGTTGCGCCGCCAGGATACGACCGCTGGAACTCTGGCGGGCCCCGCTCTGACGACTCCGACGCCCGAGATCCCCCCCCCCTTTCCAGCGTTGCATTATCACAGAAGGTAATGCATATACCAGGGCGCTTTCTTCGCGCAGTGAGTTGATGGGCCGCGCGAGGCGGGCGCGCGGCAGCCGCGACTTGGCTCGCGCTCTTACCCCGCCCAAGTTGCGCATTGTTCTCAGACAGGCATTGGCGCGTAGGTTGAATGGCGGTCGCCATTTTCAGGAATCGATGGTGCGAGGCCAGCGACCGCGACCCCGAAGTCGTTGGTTCGCCCCGCATGCCACTGCGAAGGCTGAAGCCTAAACGCCCCGCGCACGCGCTTCACCTCCCGCGCCCCTGCCCTGATCGACACCCTCGACCGCGGCCGTGGTGGGCCAGGGGGGGCAGATGCAGTTCGAGCGCCCTGCGTGGTCCAGCGGGGAAAACACGCGAGGCGCTGGGCGAGGACGCGGCCGTCGGCGGGGAAGACAAGGGCGGGGCCAAGGGCGCCGAGACGCACGAGCAGGAGGGCAAGACGCCCATCGCCCGCATCGCGTGGCCCCTCATGTCGGTGACTCGCGAGGTGGCAGACATCTCCTCCACGGCGTTCGCCCGCTGCGCGGCGTCGGTGGGCGACGGTTCGGCGCCGGCTTTTCATCGCGACGGGCGCGGCTTGCGACGACGAGAGTCAGCGCGTCCGCGGGCAGAAGCAGGGCGGAGAAGAAGTGGGCTTCAAGTCGCGAGGCCCGCAGCACATGCAGACCGTAACAGCAGCAGCAGCAGCCCGGCAAGGAGCAGATCGCACCACATCTTCCAAGGGGAGATTCGCAGACGAAGAACGAAGAGGCCAACGAGCACAAGTTCATCGACCTTTGGAACAAACTCATCAACATATAATCAATCATGGCCATGTCGCGCTCCACCCCGCACTCCCCCCTCAAACCCCAGAAGAAGACCGAGGGCCAGCCTTAGAAGGCCACGCCCCTGATGAGCTTCTCGTTGGAGACCCACCTGGGAAGGCAATGGGGGAGGCAATGGGGAAGTCGATGCGCTTGGAGGAAGCGAGCTACGCTTCAGGAGTTGCCCTGAAGGGGACATTATAGCGCGAATGCAGCAAACCGATCGGCAAATCAGTGTGAGAGTGCCACCAGGGCAATCGGATCGGCTTCCTGAACATATTCAGAGAGAAGTAATCGCGCTTGATGCCCTGGGCACGTTGCAGAATCTAGCGCCGTCGCATGCGCGCGACTCATTACCAACTACGCCGCTTATTTTCTTGCCCCAGCAGCTTCCAGAGACGAGGTCGCGGTCGTAGGAGTGGTTGTTGGGGTGGCCGGGGGCGGGGCAGCGTGGCTTGAGGCACCTCATGCCTTTCGAGCCCGCCTCGCCGAGCGGATTGCGTGCGGGCCTGAGCGCGGGCCAGGGCCTGTGCTGCCTGGTGCAAAGCGCCGTGGAGGATTGCGCTAATCTTTAGGATTGCGCTAATCTTTCGGTTGACATCGGAAGGGAACCTCAGAAACCGGACGTTGTCCCGGATTTGGCTGGAGCAAAAACCGTTTGAAACGTCATGATATGCAGGCTGGTTTCTCCCGATCGGGTTCCAAGAGGTCATGCTTTCATTCATTCATTCATTCATTCATTCATTCATTCATTCAGTCTTGCTTTTCATGATTCATCCTCCTCGTCCTTGCTCCTTTTCCGTCTTGTGCCGTCCTCCTCCTGCCCCACCCTCCTCCGTCCTCCTCCTCGCCCTCTTCCTCACAGAAAGTATTCTTTCTTTCCTCCTCCATTGGACCTCCTTTTTCCTCGTCTTCACCCTCCCCCAGGCCCTCCTCGACCCCCCCCCCCTCCCCACCCCAAACCAGCCTCACTTCGACTCACCTCTTCACCTCCCCCGACGCCGCAGCCGCTCGGGCTTCCGGCTGTCAGGAGCTTGCCGATTTTTCATGCCAATTCGGTGCGCGCGAAGGCAGCTTTGTTTTGATCCCCGGCGCTGCGCAGCGTCCCGCCGCCCGCCCCCACGAGGCCACGAGGCCCACCCCCCGAGTCCCACACCCGGCGTCGCGAAGCAATGATGGCCGTCGCTTTCGCTTCGAGCACTGGATCGACCACATATTTGATGTACCCCAACATTGATTTGTTCGTCAAGTCGGCGACAAAAGCGTATAGTGCTCGTAGACCTACGAATAGTGTACGCACGTCTTGTACACTCGACGAGATATCCAATATTGGGGTAAATCGATTATGTAGTCGACCCCCTCCTCGAGCAATGATGTCCGTCGTTGGCCTGTGGGGACGGCTCCCGCGTCCCGCGGAGGATCGCGAACGCGACGCCGGAGACAGGGCAGGCAGCGATCCGGGCTTTCATTTCCGCGGCGCCAGGGGGGATGTGGGCAAGGGCAGACCCTCATTCGGACTGGGCTAGGACGAGGATGGATCCAATCCAGAACGCTTTCACAGCGTTCTGGAATGTTCTGAGAAAGGCCGCGGCGCCCGATACATCTTCCAGAGCCGCCGGATCTCAGAAATCGCCGTTCACATATTGGTGTTTGAGGGATGGGGTGCCGAGGACGAGGTGCTTCAAACAACCGGAATCCACGGTCGGACCCCTTCTTATCTTTAGGTCCCCAGCCCTCAAGATCCCATCTTTGAACCACCGAGGAGATATTCGACGTATCCTCACCCTGATTCGGCCTCGTCTTGGCTTCGTCTTCTCGTCTGAGGGCGGCGGGGCTTCCCAGGAGCCCTCCGGCCCTCGGAGAGAGGCCCCCTGCGTCTCCAGAGGAGGCGCACGGAACTTCTCGGGAGGCCGCACGGGCCTCCGTCCGAGGAGCCTGGCTTCTTCTGCCTCCCCGCCCTCTTGGGCTCGACGCCGATGATTGGCGGCAGAGGTGCTCATTTCAGATCGATGATCCTCAGGTCGTGTGCTTCGGGAACGAGAGAAGGACGTGCACGTAACCTCTATACGTCTTTAGTTTTGGTCCCCCCTCCCTGGAGCTCTCCGCGGTGAATAAACTTGTCCCGAAACTCGTCCGCTCCCGAAACCTCTCCTCCTCCTCAAAGTGCAGCTCTCGCCTTAGCGCCGCGCACATTCGTCTGAAAAGTTTGCAACAGTTTCAAGGATGGAGGGCTCGTGTTGTTCGAAGTGCAGATCTCGCCTTAGCGCCGCGCACATTCGTCTTCAAATTTTGCAACAGCTTCAAGGATGGAGGGCTCGTGTTGTTCAAAGTGCAGATCTCGCTTCAGCGCCGCGCACATTCGTTTTAAACGTTTGCAACAGTTTCAAGGATGGAGGGCACGCGTGGTTCAAAGTGCAGCCCTCGCCTCAGCGCCGTGGGGCACCCCTACACGACAGAGGAATTCTGAGCGCGTTTGTAAGACAAGTGCAATATAACTCCACTCGTTCGTCGTCGAAGGCGCTTGTATCAATCTTCTCTTTCTCGCCCTGTTTGCAAGAATATTGTGGTATGCGCAAGTACATATGTAATGCATTTCTTACTCTTCAGCGGCGGGGCGCCGATTAGTTTCCCGCTATTGGCCGCCGTGCTGAATAATGTTGGGGGGGTCATTCCCCCAGAGAATAATGCCCCGTGGGCAACCCAACACGACAGAGGAATTCTGAGCGCATTCACAAGAGAAGTGCAATCTAGATCCATTTGTTTGTCGCCGAAAGAGCTCTTGCAAATCTTCGTTTTCTCTCGTCCTGCTTGCAAGAGTAGTAGCTGCGCTAGTACATATGTAATGTATGTATTCATCTTCGGCGTCGGCGCCCGCGCCGCGGGGCACCGATTAGATTCCCACTATTGCGCGCCGAGCTGAATAATGTTGGGGGTATCTTGCTCCCACTGAATAATGCCTCGTGGGCTGCCCTACACGACAGAGGAATTCTGAGCGCGTTTGTGAGAGAATTGCAATATGGACCCACTCCTTTGTCGCCGAAGGCGCCCCCCCCCCCCCCGCAATTTTCGCTTTCTTTCAACAATCGAAAAGTTCGCAACAGTTACAAGGATGGAGGGCTGGTGCGGTTCAAACTGCAGCTCTCGTCTCAGCGCCGCGCGCTCTCGTCTTAAAGGTTTGTAACAATTACGATGATCGAGGGCTGGTGTGGTTCAAAATCCAGCTCTCGCCTTAGCGCTGCGCACATGCGTCTTCGTATTCGTCGTCGCATCGCTGTCGTAGTCGTAATCGCACACGTACTCGTTATCGCTTTCGTCTTCGACTTTGTCGTCGGACCGCCCGAACTAGAATTAGTTTCCGCTGTTTTCGGGCGGGGTCGTTTTTTCCGAGTTGTCAATAAACTCACCCGAGATATATTCATTTTCCATGTATTGGCCTGGGGATTTCTAAAGACCTATCGGGGTTACAGTCGGACCGGGGTATGAGATCGAGGTCGGTGCGGGGAGGGTGCCCTCATGGCCTTCGAGGAGGCACAGGAGGTTTCTCGGGAGGCCGCATGGGCCTTCGGCTGAGGAGTCTTGGTCCCTCTGCCT